CTTGTATACACCTCAGATCATTTCCACAATCATTGCCAATGGCAAAAAATGCCTAAACTCATTGGTGAACTGTGGCATTTTAGCATCCCCCCATCATTAGTGGTCATTGGCATTCCCCCCCCCCCCCCCCGACCGCACACAAAATACAGTCCCACAATATTGGTGGTCAATAGCATGAAGAGGACCTGCATCAGGGGCTATGAAGGAGGAAGAGTGACATCCTTCTGTGCCGTGGTTGAGCTGGAACCAGGTGTATGGAACAGTTCTTCCCCCATCCCCTGTGTTGGATTGGTTAGCTGGACGTGTGTGGAGTGATTCCCCTGTTAGGAGTGTGCCATTGGAGCCCCTTCCTGTCCTGACCAGATCCATGATGACCACCAGGGTGTTGCTTGGATATTAATATTTCATGCGCATATTACTTGCCCTTCTGGTAAGAGCAAGCACACCGTTTACCACCTGAAGTCACGAGCATCTTTACCACTATATCACCATTGGGTTTTTACAGTGTGAACTTATTTTCATCCAGAAATGATTATATTTGACCATTGAACATTTCATTAGCACCTTATGAGCTTTTTATATATACGGATACATCTTTTAGGTGCACTATCTATTGCACCTACTTCTTTTCACAGCTCACTATTTATCCAGCATTACTGGATTGTTTCATTGTTGGCACTATATAGGCACTTTTTCATTTATTTATTATATTAGTGCAATAATCCATTTGGTATAATACTCTTAGTCTTTTATAGTGCAATATTTCATTGGTGCAATATTTTCAGCAATATATGAATTTTATCTATTGGTGCAATATTTATTAGTACATTATTTATTAGTGCAATATCTTCATTTATGCAATATTTGTAATATTTTCATTTATTATATGTATGCATTGTTCTATTGGTACATTATTCCTATCACCATAGGCCCATATTTTTGACTAGTGCTGCATAATTGTTTTACTATTTTGAGAGATGGGTTGATAGTGGTGCTATTGATTCTGACCAAGCAATCAGGGGAAGAGGCACGTGGGGGAGAAATTATTATGAGCTCAGTTTTGGATAGATTGAGTTTTAGGAAGTGGTGTGACATCCAGTCTGATATGTCTGTTAGTAAATCGGTGATAAGTGAGGAAACTGATGGGGTGAGCTGAGGAGTAGAGAGATAGATTTGTGTGTCATCAGCATAGAAATGGTATTGGAGACCATGGGAAGCTATCAGCTGACCCAAGGAAAAAGTGCAGATCAAGAATAGGAGAGGTCCACAGACAGAACCTTGGGAGACCCCAGCAGTAAGAGGAGTAGGAGAGGAGGATGTAGAGTTGTAAGTGACACTGAAGGTGCGGTGAGATCGGTAAGATTCAAACCAACAGAGAGTACAGTCACAGAGACCCAGTAAATAGAGTTTTTTTTTGAGGAGGGGGGGTCGACTCCGGTCAAAGACAGCGGAGAGGTCCAAGAACAAGAGTACGGAATAGTGACCATTGGTTTTAGTGGTTAGTAAGTCGTTTGCAATTTTTAGGAGAGCAGTTTCTGTGGAGTGTTGTGGGTGAAATCCAGACTGAAGGGGATCGAGAAGGTTATTTTCAATAAGGTGGCAGCTCAGCTGGTTGTTGACTAGATGTTCAAGGAGTTTGGAGGTAAAAGGGAGTAAGGAGATGGGTCTTAGATTTCTAAGATTGGCGGGGTCCAGTGTGGCTTTTTTAAGTATGGGGGTGACTAGCGCATGTTTTAGAGAGTCGGGGAAGATGTCAGTAGTAAGGGAGAGATTGAAGATATGAGTTAAAGAATGAAGGATAGAGCCAGAGGGTGACCGTAGAACTTGCGAGGGAACAGGGTCCAGGGGCAGGTGGTTTGGTGGGCTTTAGAAAACAGTTTACCAGCCTCCTCTATAGTAACTAAGTTTAACAAGGGAAGTATAGATTGTGCAGGTGGACAAGGAGTGTAGGGTGAGGGAGTTATCTGTACAGTGGAGATCTCATCACAAATTGTATCAATCTTTTTTAACCTCTTCCCGCCCAGCCTATGGCTGAATGGCGGCCGGCAAAAACCCTCACCTTTCCGGGTGGACGCCATATGGCATCCTTTCGGGCATGCGCAAAAAGTCAAAAAATATAATTTTTTTTCTCAATATTGTCAGACTTTATTTTTATTGCGCAAAAAATAAAAAATGCACAGGTGATCAAATACCACTGAAAGAAAGTTCAATTTGTGGGAAGAAAAGGATGTAAATTTTATTTGGGTGCAGAGTTGTATGACCATGCAATTGTCACTTAAAGTAATGCAGCGCCGTAACACAAAAAATGGCCTGGTCAGGAAGGGGGTAAATCCTCAGGAGGGCAAGTGGTTAAAGAGGAACTTCAGTGTTTATTTTTTCTGTTCTTCTTCAAAACACCAGATACTTATCACTGCCTGGAACCCAGCTCTGTCCTACTGCAGCTGCTTCTTACCACTGTTAGTCCCCAGTACCACAACCTTGGATATGGTAGCAAGTTGTGGCTTTCTAAGGAACAACAGCTAGCTTCCCACGGCGTATGCATGAGCTCTCGTGGCACTCTGTGAATGGTCCTTCAGCCTCCTGGAACATGTAAGGTTGCAGGAGGGGAGGTGTGGGGCATGGACATCATCCTTGCCCAGGTGAAGATTGCAGAAGTGGGAGTGGGTACTGATACAAATGGGCACTTATCCCCCCAAAAACAAACAAACTATAACTCAGTTACAGGATGGGAGGGGGAACCAGCAGTAATTAACTTTTTTTTATTGGAGATCCACTTTAACTACCCTCTTTCCCAATAGCATATTATTCACCTTTCCATTACTCTCTTGTTGCTTTATTAGGCCATTGGGAGTAGGGAAAGATAGTCCTGTGTAAGCTCCAAACAGGCTTGTGAGGGCATAAAAAGGACTCAGAACTTTCTTTATGTCCCCACGTGACAGTGTCAAGCCAATCACTGAGCACCAGTGTTGTCACATGGAAGAAGCGTAGTAGGATTCTCCTTCATAGCCCTAGATGCCATGTATTCCTTTTCACTCTTAGTGGCTGAACAGAGTAGAAAGGTATGTATTGAAAGGTAATATGAAAGGTATATGAATGAAAGGCAAGTATTTGTTGCTGGGGAAGGGGAACATTTCATGACACAGTTCCTTTTCTTTCACATGGGTTCACTTTAAGCATCTCTCTACCTTTTGTGCCATACTAATAAAGTAAAATAGTATAGAGGGTTCATTTATGAGTCAGCTGTACAGAGCAATAAAGCTTTATTTGACACTACTGCATTTGACATAGTTCTCTATATACCATTGCTAAATATAAAGATGGAATGTTCTTCTTTATATGGATTGTGTGTTTTGTCCTCTTGCCCACTGGAGACAATTGTTAAAACATTAGGAAAGCAACCTGAGACTTGATTTGGCTTCCTTTATAATTATGTTGTTGTCCTTAAATGTCAGGGGCTGACTATACACTGGATTCAGTATTTGCAAAACCAAGTCACTTGTTTGCTTTTTTTGTTTTCAATTGCTCTGAGTGAATGAAAATGTAATACCTCACAATGGACTTGGCTTATAAGATTAACAAAACCTTCCATGTGACAGTAAACAGTCTGCTTACATAGGGGGAAAAAGTAGTCACTACAAAAAACATAATGTATTGCAACAAATTAACTTCCCATGTAGCTCTTTGAGAATATGTTGGGAACTGATTTTGTTGACATCCATATTCTTCTGAAGGTCAACAAGAAACAAAGTTACCATATTTTAATGACTATGTAAGATTTTAATCAATATCTTAATGAACATAGGATCAATTTCTAAAATGTTGACAATATTGAGTTTTATAGAACATTTGTTTAGCTCATTACATGAAAGTCAGATTAACAAAGTACCATACTACAAAATCTTCATTTTTACTCAAATTAGTTGATGCAAAAATGAATGCACCCCACAACAAAAACTACTACATCAAGTATTTTGTATGACCTCCATGATTTGTAAGAACAGCACTAAGTCTTCTAGGCATGGAATGAACAAGTTGGCGACATATTGCAACATCTATCTTTTTTCATTCTTCAAGAACGAAGAGCTCGGATGCTGGATAGAGAGTGATTCTTAACTTGTCTCTTCAGAATTCCCCATAGGTGTCTGATTGGGTTCAGATCAGGAGACATACTTGGCCATCACTGACTCACTTTCACCCTGTTCTTCTTCAGAAATGCAACAGTGACCTTAAATGTGTGTTTTGGAGTATTGTCATGTTGGAAAGGTGACCGACCCCCAAGGGCATGAAGTGATGGTAGATATTTTCTTTCAGTATGGAGCAGTACATCTGTGAATTCATGATACCATCAATGAAAGGCAGCTTCTCGACAATAGCAGCATTCATGCAGCCCCACAGAAGGACACTGCCACCACCATGTTTAACTGTAGGCACCATGCATTTTTCTTTGTACTCCACACGTTTGCGACACCATACACTTTTGAAGCCATCAGTTCCAAAAACATTTATCTTGGTCTCATCACTCCAGAGTACAGAGTCCCAGTAGTCTTCTTTTTCAGCATGAGCCCTGGCAAATTCTAGGCAGGCTTTTTTGTGCATGGGCTTTAGGAGAGGCTTCCTTCGTGGACGACACCCATGCATGCCATGCCTCTGCAATGTACGCCGTATTGTGTCATGGGAAACAATCACCCCAGTTTAGCTTTCTATTTCTTTAGCTAACTGCAGTGAACTTGCATGGTGATTTTCTGCAACCCTTCTCATCAGAATATGCTCCTTTGGGAGTATTTTGTAGTATAGTGTCCCATAGCAAATGTTGATTCTGAAAGGAAAGTAAAGGTTCTGACAAATCTGCTGGGGTGCACTCATTTATGCTGAGCACTGAATATATATGCATGTTCTGAAAATTTCTAACTTGCACTCGCCTGGGTTGCAGACCAGTTGACTCAGTCTTTACGGAGTATTTGAAGAAATAACACGGGAGTGCATTGTGCTGTTGGTGGAAAATGATTGACAGGAAGCTGGAGCAGAAGATTAACATCAAATTTTGTGTGAAAATTGGCAAAAGCGTGAGTAAAACTTTAGTTCTGTTACAACAGGCTTATGATGAACATTTCATGAATAAATCAAATGTTTTTGAATGGCATAGGCAGTTTAAGGAGGTGTGGGAAAATGTCTGCAGACAGGGCAAGGGGTAGCTGATAATGGACCTTCCTCCGTGTTCCCCACTAACTTGTTGGGTGCCAAGTTTGGGTCACATAAGAGGATTACCCCTAGGGTGAGTTCTGCTGGGTTATGCCAGGCTCTCTACCTCACACATATGGGGTACCTTTGGCTTCTTGTGCCATTTTCACCAATGCCCTGGGACAAGGCTGAGGTTGCCATCAGGGAATACTCAGGCTTAAAGCAGAACTTCACCCAAAAGGGAAGTTCCGCTTAAATGTTTTGCCCCCATTCCCTATTAATGATTGCCACTTTTGGGGAGCGGGTACCCGAATTTGCCAGGTACCCGCTCCCACTTCTGGTGTGATTGCCTAAGGTGAACGGACACAGAAGTTGTCCTCCCCACTCCCTGTAGTTTTCTGGGACATATGACAGGTCCCAGAAGACTATGGGACAATTCACTAAGCACAGTGCTACTCACACATGCGCAGCGGGCACCCAGCTGTGACAGCTTGCAATTTCCACACTAAGGATGCCGGTGCTGTGGAGAGAAGATGGCCGGTGAAACCAGGCATGGTAAGGACACCGCTGGACTGAGGGACTGTATTTTGAAAGTCAGCAGCTACAGTTTTTGTAGCTGCTGACTTTCATTTTTTTTTATTCAACTGGAACTTCGCTTTAAGGTAGGCCTCGTAATACATAGAAATTATTGTACACCAAGTACATCTGCACCACAACTGTTCTCCAGTTAACTCTCGGGCCCCCATGTAGATGTACATCTTTCCAATATATCTTTCAATTAGGTGGGCCTTGCTGAGCACTGACCACAGCCACCTGTCCCATGTTTTCCCAATACTGGTCCTAGTATCAGCCATGAGGCCCATCATACTCATAGCGCAGGCTCCACCATGCACTTGATTTTAACTCTCGAACTTCCGCACCTCTGTATAGGGTGAGGACCTCTGCAGTGCAACTCTGCTCCGGTTGCTGTGAGAGATGGAATGTGGCTTAGGGAGTGTCAACAACATCTCTCTCACGTCTAGAGATAGTTCCACCTATGACTAGTACTTGTTTCCAACAGGCTGATTGATGACTGTACCTTCCTTGCTCATGGCAACCACATGTATAACTTGCACTAGGATGACTCTTAACGTGTTGACTCTTCGTAGCCCATGCACTACTGTCCCAAACTGAGCACTCCAGACTTCAGACTATGCAGAAGGCAAAGTTTCAACATTTTACTGTATAACAGTCCATACAAAGTCCAAATATAACACAGAACAGTCATTTTCCTAAATCCCTAATCCTAACTCACTCAGCTTTATGTGCTGCCTTGCATACATGCAAAGGTAGAGTCCATGTGCATTCAGGTTTATTAGTGGCATTCCCCTGCGGCTGGTGTCTGTAGGGTGAACCCCACATTGGATGGCTCTCACATCTTTCAGGTTCTTAGGTGGCTGTACCAGGGGCGGACTGACAACTCATGGGGCCCCCGGGCAATAGGAAATCATGGAGCCCCTGTGTCCTCACCCACACTCAAACCACACCCAAAAAAGCCTATGAAAGGTACCAGGGGTATCTCATGGGGCCCTCTACTGACCCCGGGCCCTCGGGCAGTGCCCGAGAGCCTAAATGGTCAGTCCTCCCCTGGGCTGTACCCTTCACGGAACATGGCTGATGGACCAGCCAAAAGGCTCTCAAACTCCTCCAGGGTAACTTTAGGAAACCTTTTTCCAGGGGCTCTGGATCTCTGTATCTTTTTTTATATTCACAGGTAGAACCCAAAATGAAAAACCTGGGAACTAAGTTAACCCAAGCTCTCCCATCCAGGGCAGCACCTAACTAGCTAGTTCTAACATGCTTACATGTCCACAACGATGCAAGAAATGGGCAGCCAGAAATGCAAAGGACGAATGTACATGTGGACAGACTTCGAGCCCTCATTTGCTCAGGTCAAAGATTGAGTGTGCGAATGATGACAGAAGAATTGAACATGAACAGGGAAACAAGACAAATCCTAATGGAGGATTTGGGATTGAGAAAATTTTCTGCAAAGATGGTGCCTAGAATCTTGAGAGAAGAAAGAATGTTGTCTTCAAATTTTATCTGATCCTTTAAAGAATGTAGAGGTGTTTGATAGAGTTATTACCAGTCCATTGTGGGAATTAAATTGTCATACCTTGTATATCAGGTCATGAAGTGAAGTCACATTTTTGTCAGCTCCTTTTTACCCTTTGTCTGCAGGGCTTTGCGGTGTTTCATCCCTGGAAAAGCTGGTGGTATTAACTTCTAACTTCATCCAGTATCACCTCCAGATATATTATATATTATCTCTCTGCTCTGTCCCTTTTCTAGCATCTTAGGTGAATAGCCCTGCTGGTGTGGGAATGACCTGATGATTGTGAGGCTTTAATCTGCAAATGCGCTTATTTTTAAGTATGTGCATTGTAAGAGAATGTTATACCATATTTATTTATATATTTATTTGAAAAGGTGATTATCTGCACTGCGCTGAGCTTTTTTTTCTCTGCCATTTTGTCTCTCTGTTCAAAAAATGAAAACAAAACAAAAACACATGAGTTAGGTTTTAAAGCAGACTTCAAATCAAATATCTATATTATGTCTTTAAACTGCATGCTACTTCTACAAACAAAGCCAGCTGCAGTGCTGAAATAATAACCTGTCAGTGAGTTTTATTTCCTTTTGAATGGCAACAGTTAATGTCTTTATATCCACTTCTGATTTCATGCCATGGTTTTGTTGGAGGCAGAGGCACTGTTTGGCCAACTCTCTCTCAACCATCCTTGCTCCAATGCTTTGGGGGAGCCATTTAGTATAATAGGGGCTTTAGGTCAATATAAAGAAATGCTGCAACCCTCATTCAATTATCTGTGCTCCTGCACAAAACAATGCCAATACTTTATTCCAGCCTGCAGTATCTGGAGAATTCAGTGTACGTTAGAAGCATGTGGTAAAAGCTTTCTTTTTTTCACTTATATGTATGAGCTTTAATTCCCACCTCAAAATAATTTATATAATTTGAGTTGTAATGTTCTCTTGGGATACCACAGACAGACACTTTTTAAAAATATTTGCTTGCATTCAGCTCTCGCTTGAATACAAGCTTTGGGTAAAAGTCAATAAATATCAATATGTTAGCAATCGAGTGGCCTGCTGGTTTTCAGTTCTCTCCTATCCTGCACAATGTAATGACAATTTGGATTCTCTACACAAGAATCTCATTTCATGAACAAGAATTTTTATGCATCTAATTATGAAATGTGAAAAGCTTTCATTGTGTATCACATTCAACTGCTTACATGGCAGACTATGTTGCATGTTGAATATCATTTTTAGGCTTTTTAGCTTTGAAGAATCATATAACTTAAGTATAGCCAAACCTAGTATTAAAGATTAAAGATATTGTGGCTTAATAATCCTTAGATGTGTTAGCTGCATTGTTTTATTTAGGCTTTTTGGTGATCCTGCAAGTGTTACACTACTGTCCTAGGCTTGTCAATTCCGTGACTTTTTAACGAACTAACTGTACTGTACTCTATCTATGGATGATCATTGTTGTCACCTTAGGGTCCTGACTCCTAACTAATGATGATTGAACTGAGTGAACTTTGGTTTAGTAGACAGTTCCCCCAACACTTGCAAAATCCACAAACCCTGAACATTGTGCACAAACCTTATTGAGGTCTATATGAGCTGAATATTGCACCTTTTTCTGGCTTTTTGCAAGCTTTCTGGCCAACTTGGAAGCTTTGGTAAAAAAGAGCATGGACAGTTCGTTACTGCCATGGGGCACATTTATACATACATTGTATACCTTTTTTTTTTCTTTTATTATGAATGCACACATTTTTGGATAACATGCTTGGTGCCTTTTAACACCAGAGCTGTTTTTGCATTTTGTACACACAAGTTAAAATGCATGTTTTAGGCATAAAGATCAATGAAACCCTCCAAAACATTAGATATTTCTGAAAGCAGAGAAAAAAATGGTGGTAGTTGCAATGTTTTATGTCACAAAATATTAATATTATAATTTTTGACACCCCCTATGCCCAAAAAAATGGGCATTTTAATTGGGGTTCAGTTTCTTTGAAGTTCGCCAAACCACTGCCGAAATTAACCCAGAGCAGCTCAGTTCATTAATACTACTCTTAACACTGATTAAAATGTTAGTGAAACATGTTAGTGACTCCAGCCTCAGTCCACTCCTTGTGAAAGTCCCCAACACTTTTGAATGGCCTTTTCCTGACAATCCTCTCCAGGCTCCAGGTCATCCCTGCTGCTTGTGCACCTTTTTCTTCCACACTTTTCCCTTCCACATAACTTTCTATTAATGTGCTTTGATACAGCACTTTGGGAACATCCAACTTCTTTTGCAATTACCTTTTGAGGCTTTCCCTCCTTATGGAGGGTGTCAATGATGGTTTTCTGCACAACTGTCAGGTCAGCAGTCTTTCTCATGATTGTGATTCCTACTGAACCAGACTGAGAGACCATTTAAAGGCTCGGGAACCCTTTGCAGGTGTTATGGCTTAATTAGCTGATTAGAGTGGGACACTTTGAGCCGAGAATATTGCACCTTTTCACAATATTCTAATTTTCTGAGATTGTGGATTTGGGGTTTTCATGAGCTGTAAGCCATAATCATCACAATTATGACAAATCACGACTTGAACTATCTTGCTTTGCATGTAATGAGTCTATCTCATATATTAGTTTCACCTTTTAAGTTGCATTACTGAAATAAATGAACTTTTGCACGATATTCTAATTTTTCGAATTTCACCTGTAGATTAGAGAACACTTCCCAGTTTTTTTTATGCCCATCTAAATAAAGTCTGGAGTGGTGTTATGTAGTCCAAAACCCTTCAGGGCTGATACCACTGCCTAGGATTTCAATGCAACAAAAGTAAAAGTGCCCAGCAAGTTACAAAGGATTTTTTTTGTGATGTTAAATTTACGTCATATCTTGTTACTGGTGGATAACTGCAAGGAAGGTCATTTGAGCACTGTGTTAGTTCTGTGGACTTGTTTATTTTATTGCCAACTTCTGGATATGTATTGAAATCTTAACCTGACAAACTAAGAAAATTTATGTGGATTTGTGAATTCATAGCACATATAATTGTGGATCTCAGTGATCTTCTTCTTATTGTAAATATTACAATGTTTTAACTGCATTTATGAAAGATCCGCACTGGATATAATAACAATTAGTACAGTGTATACCTGTTCCATGACTTTTTTGTTTGTTTGTTTCATAAAGGCTTTATTGATCCAACAAAAGTCAGATACGAACAAAGCTCACAATGCTCGGCTCGTAAGAGAGCATGTAATAAGAGGAAATAAAACATGGGAAGAGGAGGAAAAGAAAGGGGAGAGATAGAAAAAAAAGGAGGGGGGAAAGGGTAGCGGGTAAGGAAGTCATTTCAGCTTTAAAGGTTCCTGTCTGCTTGAAAATGCATGGACAGGAAGCCAAAAATGATTTATGTTTTCTCAGAGCGAAGGTCAAAGTATGTGAAGTTCTTTTAAAGTGAGACAAACAATACCATGCAGAAGTGAATCCTTTTCCTGAGAGATACTAATCAACTCTTCAATCTATTCTTCGGAACCATTCCCCCATCATAGGAACTCAGGTGAAGTGCCAATGACATGGGATACAATGCCTTGCTGCATTGATTGAACATTATCAATAGAATTTGTCAGCCTGGACATGTGATGGAGAAGATATTGCACAGGGGAAAAAACAAGAGCATTTGTCTTCACAATTGAGGTGACATTATGTACTATTTTCCAGAAAGGCTGACTCTTGGAGCATGTCCCCTGTCTGTCTCACATCTCCAACATACATTGGGGATACCAAAGGAGAACTTGAGGAAAAGAGAAGGGGTCCTGTACCAGCATGTGTAAATTTTATAGCTACACTCTTGTGTCGCAACATTCAAAGAGCCTGTCAGAGATGCAGGTGTGACCAGAGATGTGTGTACTGACACAGGGAAACACAGGCTCCAGATATGGTATAAACAAGACAATTTATTAAGACTAACAATACAAACATAAACGCAGTGCACCAAACCCCAAGCTAACACAAATACATACAACAAGGTGAAACAAACCCAAACCTAAACTGATACAGATACACAGGTACATACACATATAGAGCACAACGTAGTCAGGAAGGCCGGGTTGATAACTATCGGGCAGGTAGGTACAGGAGGAGCAGGCGGAGAGAATGGTCAGGATCACAAGCTAGGGATCAAAAGAGGAGAAGTCAGCAGAGGTCAGGATCAGGCAGGGTCGGCAACAAGTCAGGCAGAAACAGGAACAGGAATGCAAGTTACAAGGTACAGGGGCCCATGGAAAAAGACACACACCAAGGCACAGACTGCAGGTCTGGCCATCCCTTCAATATACACCTGCAATCAGCCCCAGGTGATGGCTAATTGCCGAAGTGAACCTCTGGTTGTTGAGAGCACCCGCTGGCCAGCCCTGGTACTGCAGCCCACAAGGCAGGTGAGTCCCACCACTATTGGCAAGTCCATTCCTGACAGAGCCTTTATGTTTAAGGGTATTGCTTCAAATCCTCAGCAGACAGAGGCACTTCCAAATTTTGTTTCCAAATCCTACTGGAAGAGATAGAAAATGCACAAAACTCTCCACTTTGATCTTTTTGAGTTCTCTGAGAAGAAGGAAGAGGGGTACCAAATGTAGACTGGTCCCATGGCTCCCAGATAGGTTAAAAACTGGTAAAGTATCTCCACCTAGGGCAGTGAAATATTCAATTTTCCTGACATATGTAATAACTTTCAAATGTTCAAAGAGGGATTGTGTCAGAGCAGTGGTATAGTTCTTCTCGTGTCTGTTAAGGTCTGGGTGATCAGTTGGCATATTTGGAGATGACCGCAAAAGGTAGGCCTAAAATAAGTTAATTGGCTCTAAAGAGAGAGTGATATTAAAAAGTTTCTGCAAGATTGATAAAACCTTAGCCCAGAAAGGTGGATGAAAGGACAGGGCCAAAATATGTGAAAAGAGAGACAATGCTATGACCACATCTCCAGCAGCCAGCAAAAGTATTTGAGTTCTGGACAT